TAAAACTTGCCAAGTAATGTAGATCAATGTGAGTGTAAGCACTTTTCTGGTATATTATATGGTTCCCAAGAGCCTTAAGGAAAAAAACGAAGCAATGGTGTATTGTTAATCGATTTCAAATTGTAAATATAAAAATGTTTTGACAGTTGTTAATGAATCACATATTGACGGGAGAATGGACCTTAAGTGAGTTTATAAGTAAGTTGGGCTACTCCTTATATTGTTAATTAATTTTAAGGAAAACTAATGAAAAAAGCTTGAAAACTTTGAGTTTTAACGATTAGGACAAAATAAAGGGTAAAGTGAATAGTACCAGGTTTGACTTTTTAGTGTAAAAATATAGTTTTTTGTTAAAGTGAACAGTACCACGATCTTTTCGTTAAAACTCTTGATTTTATGAAGGAATCTCAATATTTTTCTTGGCATTAAAGCAAGTTGTTCCATATGTGAATCCCAACGGCTACACGTGCTCCACGTCATTAAATTTGTGTTGTCCACATGTTTGGCTTGAAAAAATTCGCCAAACGTGAGAAAGCGTGTTGAGAATGACTACCACAATTATGAGAGAAGAAACATTCCATGAACTTATCAGTAAGTTGAGATACCCCCACTACCAATTCATTTTATAATAGAAGCTCAACTTTCTTCATTAAGGTTTCAAGTATTATGGTTCCAGGATACCGCCCGGGATTTAAATTTTGGAGTTGGGGAAATATCATTAGCATCAAGGAGTGCGTAGTTGCTTGTTAATCAAATATTTTATGGCGGCAAAAACATCATTAGCATCAAGGAGTGCGTAGTTTTACTTCAGTATTTTACTTTTCATTCTTTGCGATTTAACTCATGTAGTTTACTAATACGATGAACTTCTAAAAGTACACACATGACCTTGTAGGTCTATTTATTTTTTCTTTTCAAAAAGAAAGAAGCAAATAAATTATTGTCTTTAAATTAATACTATTAGTCTATCATAAGGGTAAATAGCGACAATTAAAATTACATAGACGTAGGTGAAAGGGATGTGCTTTAATTTTCTGTTAATTTATGTCTTTTAATTTTCTTTAATTCAGTCGATCCGATAGTCGCAATTGAAAGGAGTGTGCGAGAAGTAAAAAAAAAATATGAAGATAGCACATCGCTAAGTGAAATTGAACCGAACTAGGGGACCAAAATCATTATTTCGACTCATTTCAAGTTACACGCAGTGCCAGTGCACCGTAAGTACCATAAATAACAATTGATTGTCAGCTACAAAACCTTTTTGGTGGGTTGGAACTGGAAGCTTTGCCTTATTTAACAAAACAAATATGGGCCCATAAGAAACAACAGATCCAGACTATGAGTTAAGATATTGGGCCTATTGTTGGGCTCCACAATGAACCCTACCGCAAGCAATCAACAATCGAAAGAAAATGATTAAAAAAAAAAAAAAATCTGGCTTTCCACGTTTAATAAATGGAAAGTGACTTGACAGGAAATACAGGTCACACCACACGAATGATCTCTGCATAATGCATTTGACACTCTGGTGGTCGACACAGATATTTCAGTCGAGCATCATATATTATTAACAGCAAAATATACAAAATACTTTTTGGTTTTTTTGTTTTTTACTTTTTAACATTTTACAATTGATGATGATGAACAGACACAAATGAGTAAACAGAAAAACAAAAACAAAAAGAAGAATTTAAATCAAGCTTCCCATGTGTCAGTACACTTTCTGTGTTATTGAATTTCAATTGAAGAATTTTCTACCAATGTCATTTTCATGATTTAGATCATGCGAAAGATACACAATTTGCTTGTAGGAACTAAAATCATATAATTATCGTTGCTAGTCATAAATTTGAAATTGTCAAGAACAAGATATGCTGATAATTTATATAGGTTTTTATAACTTAAATGAGATTTTGGAGGAAACTTAAACGTAAATTGAAAGAAGCTCGATGGTAATTAGTTTGAGAATATATAAGAGTTTGAAGAGTTCTTTTGATCCTCAAAACACCAACTTATACAAAATGCACTCGTTACACATGAAAACAAACTTACTTTGAAGATATATGACATCTCTGCAAACATCTAAACGGTATAAACAACATTAACATACTTTTAACAAGATGCAAACTGATTATTTCGGGTGTTTGAATAGAATTAGCACAGATCCATCAGTATCAATTATCAAAGTACCCAACACCAACATCAAAGAACGACCCAGCATGCTATATTGGTATACATGAATTCTTTTGTTCTGAAACAGAAAACAACTGGAAGGAAATACACTCACGTTTTTTAGGAAAAGATATATAACAAGTTTGCTTAGACAATCTAAGGATCACTACACAGATGATTAAATGTTGTCATCTGATTCGTCAGGTATCTTAAAAAGAAAAAAAAAAAATCATCAGCTGAAATCTATATCCTTGCGAGTTGATGGGACCATAGCCATCCTGAGCCTGGACATAACATTTGTGATGATTTTACTGAAATCTAATAGAGCAGAACTAATATTAGCTTATTAAAAATAGTCACAGCCACAGGCTAAAATTTCAGAGATAAGGAACTTGGTTGCTACTACTTTTTTCTAAGATTTACTTCTATAGTTCAATCTTTAACATAACATATGTTAAATTTGTAGTATGAAGAAAACTTACGCAAAGTTTTGTACTCTGAGGGCCTTAGTTGTAGGGGTTTCAAAGATTCACATACACGAACTCTCATTTGAGATGTACTTATCCAATGTCTACTAGTTATGTCCATCATTCAAAACACAACCAACTAGAAAGGGTATTTGATATTTCAAAGCACTCTAATTTGTTCTATAGTGCAAACCAACTACTTAACCTGGAAGGACATTGTGAGGATCGAGAGGTGATATGATTAAAATGATTCTGGATCAACAAACTTTGTAGCTTGACTAGGACAAAATCCAAACAGTTTTGTAAGTAACAAGTAGGTGTCTAATGAATTCAGATTTTCAGTCATTGTAGAACCATGCTGTGAACTATACACTTCTGCAATAATTTCATTTCGCTGTTCTCTTAAATGTAGAGATACCGTGCATGAAATTTTCAGTCACATATATAACGTAAGAATCCAAATTTACATTTAAAAAATCAATCTATGAAGAATGCATAACGTTACATGGATTGGTCTCTCTCCTACCGCTAAGCGCGACGAATTTATCATAAAATGACAACAGGGGACATTTGTTTATCAAATTCAATCCATCATAAGCTTCTTTAAGAAAAACAGTGCTCCTTGCACCTTTATTAGTTATGTAAAAGATACCAGGATGCTTTATCAGACAAAGGAGCAATTTAGAGGGTAAGAAATACTCTGAATGAAATGCTTCCAGTTGAGCAGATGTCATCCTCTTCTGCATTGTCAAGCTGAGTAGCTCATGAAGCACCGCCACCACCCGCTTCCTCGATTTGGGATCAGCAATGTCAAATCTCCTGGCATTCAAATATGGAGAAGGGAATTCCATTTTCTGCCACCTTTCAAGTTGCTCAAGATAACTAGTGTTTGGCCTAAAACCAGCAGGAAAATTCATTTGAAACGCATGTGGACCTAGAAAATTACCATCTTTGGATATCCTAACCTTCTTCCCCAATCCATAAGCCGCAGAAATTCCTTCATTGGCTAAAGTTTCCTCACGAGCCGTGACTGCTAGTGAAGAATCCCAATTCTCTAAATGCAGAAAATCTTTTTCATAGACATCCTTAACCGAAAAGAATTCAGGGTACTTCGGAATCAATGATTTCTTGAAATCATTCGGCAAACCCATTTCGGATTCGATGAATTCAATGTTTTCGAGTGGAACGCGGCAATCAACTGACAACATCAACAACTTCCTCAAGTTTTTAACCAACATGGGTTCCAGCAGATCCTTGGCTGAAGCTTCTTCACCAGCAACTTTCTCAGCTTTCTCAGTGAGTGCAACAAAAGGGGGCGTTCTGTTGCCGCCGCCGACAGAGAATATTGCAGGGTATTTTTCTATGACGGCCATGAAGTTCCACTTCTGAACAAACCCAACTTCTTTCTCGAGGTCCCTGAGAAGGAGAGCCTGGTGTTTCTGCGACTGAATAATTGATTTCAGCTGTAAAATCAAGGCGGGCTTTTTCTGCAAGTCCATGACTTTGTCGAGTTCGTGGACTCTGTGGTATACCTTCTTCTTGGGTCTTCTTCCTCCGCTGGATTTGTGCTTCACCGGGACCCACATAGAACCTAATCTCTGACATGGGATTGGAGAAGGGGATGCGTATGCGTCCGTTTCGCACAGATGAGAGGTTTTGGGAAGCTGGTGAAAGCGCGGTAACGTGGTTCTCCTATGCATTTTGCGGGAACCGGTGAGCGTCTTTGGCGCAAAACATCGAACAGTTGGCGTGCAAGCGCTGCCCAACGGTCACTTAGAAGTGCTCTGGATTTGTAGGGGATGGAAAGAGTAACGAGGTCTGGTAGCAGGCCTGACAATGAAATGGCCTTTTGAGATAAATTCACAGGACTAAGAAATTGGGCCATGAAAAATCAGCCCTTTCGGCCCACATCAATATGGTAGCCATCCAAATATGTAATTGAATAACCCAAATTGTATTTCTACGATTCGAAACCTTCCTTCAAAGATCGTCGCCTATCCAAAAGACCAACAAAAAATCACCAAAATCGGAAATCAAATGACAGTTATATTTGTGGTCATTTTCGTGTATATTCGGAGCACCGTATTTGTTTATCTTCTTCACTTAAATTGAAAATTTTAATGGTTTTATATTTGTCAACCATTTACAAGGGTGTTTTATGAATGATGAGATTATATAAACAATTGGGATCGTTAATAAATGTTACGGAGTGGTAAGGTACCCTCAAAAAATTAGTTTAAGAAAAAAAAATACCAAGCTCAATTACGTATTCACAAACTCACAAACTTTATTGCAAGGTGGGCCAATTACTATTAATGAATATCACACTTTTTCTCCAAAAAAAAAAAAAAAAAAAAATGGTTCCTCAATTCAATCATAACTGTCCATTTCCTGTTAATATTAAGTAGTCCGGACTAATGAAGAAAATTTGCATAACAATAAAACAATGTACAATATTCGGACATAGAAACTGAACATGAGCATGGTTAGTACTTCATCGATTGCATGGGAAATTAACCTTATATAGCCGCTTGCAGACCACGTTCCAATCTGTGCAACTGCTAACTCATTTTCAAACTCATATTCCAGCCTAACCAAACACTTGTTTCTCTCACAAACACCGATAATTGTTAAAACTGTTCATTCTTAAACTAATGTTGAGCAGCTACCAACTAGCTCTTCAGTTTAGTGTTACTTCTCGTCCTACCCGGCTGCACACAAACACCAATCCCCTTAGCTAACCACCTCCAGCTTGCTCTACAGTGTTGTGCTTCTCATCCACCCTTCATCTTCCACAAGCTTTCTACATCGGTACTCTGTAATCTCATCCTAATTGGATAACAAATACCAATAGTAAACACTAACTTATTGTGGTTTATATACTAAATGCAGCAAGCAAGCAAGATTTACTTCTCGAGCAGCATGTTCAGGGGACATGTATCGTATTTTTCATGTAAAATCAAGACAAAATAAAACATGAATTTTCTATCACATTGAAGGACTTAAAAAGTAAATTAGGTAAGGCCAATACCAGCTAAACATACGTGCATGCATGCATAGGAACAATTGTATTCCCCTTTCAAGCCCTTGGTTCAGATAAACTTGGATGTTCCAAATATAACTGCACAGATAGAGGTTGGCTACTCATTGACTTAATAGGGGTTATTAACGGAGGTTGTTGCCACTGCTTTGTATCTGTTGGAATCCACGACTCTGCATCCTTACTTGTACAAGCCTGAGGGAGTGATCGAAAGTAAGCAGTTATCTCCCACCTGCAATCTGTTAAAGACGAAAAGCTTACGTAGCTAGCCGTGATCGATCACTACAGGAAACGAGACATTAAACCAAACCATAGTTCATGATCCCAGAAACAATGTAAGCATCTCGTCAATAATTAACCAATTAAACCAAACCATTTGATAGAAAGCTTAAGGACTTACTCTGGGGAAGAGCCTTGGTAAGGGGTTCTGAGATAGGAAGCTTGATAAAAAATGACCTTAGTGAGAACTCCAGGTCAGATTCTTCCACCCTCGAGCCATACGATTGATTCACATTGAGCTTAAACATAAATCTTTCCACAGGGATGTTGTCACCGTTAAAGAAAATAACAGCTACTCTCTCCACGAGACCCTAGTTTGTAAGATGTATTTCTCCATCTCAGTGAAAATGTTCTTTAGTGGAAAAACAAAAGAAAAACATAGGCAGAACTTTGGTTCAATTAGAAACGCAATCTTCAAACTTTTCACCCAATTTGGTTACAAATCATTTCTAAGCAAAGATGATAAGCTCATGTATAAAAAAAGTTTTAAAAGAAATAAATAAGTAAAGGGGCAACCTTTTGGATAAAAGGAAGAAGTCCCGAGACAGCGGAATGGATGTAATCTCTGAGTTCAAGGTGACGAGCTCTATGAACCACCAAATTCATATATTTCCTTCTTTCAAAAGTACCTTTACCAAAACACACCAACTATCAGAGTCTATCAGTAAATATCAGTTCAAACTGTAAAAATAATACAATTATCCATTATTCCAATAAGCCTCGTATGCAACTTGTGTAAGGGTTTAGTTAAGAAAATGGGGTTTTGCTTTCTGGGTAGGCTAATAAAGAAAAACAGAACCCAATACCATGAATTTCTCAGCAACCAAACAAGAAATTGGGGGGTGGGTGGGATAGGATTGAATGGAGGATTAGAAGAACAAACCTGGAGGGTAAATTCCTTTGAGGAAAACGACTGAAGTGATTGCAACCTCCAGGAATTCTACCAGAATCCGAGCTATCTCACCTGCACGATTTCAATTCGAATCAAGGAAACTGATTTATCAAAACCGAAAATTGAAACCGTTTGACAAGTAAAGAGAGAAGAATGAAAACCTTGAGGAGACTGACTGTCTTTGCGCTCCATCTCGATTTACCGTGTCTGCAAGTGCAAGGGTAAGTGCGTTCACAAAACTGAAGGCTCCCGCCATTTGGTGGGCTTTTGCTTGACGGACTTGGGTAATTTAATTTCAACCCACCAATTACACTTATTTAAAAGGGGATTTTGCACAAATCCAACTGAACTTGTAAACATGATTACCAATACCACATGAATGTTCGATTCTTAGTTTTTACCATCTGAATTCTCTTAATGTTGAAATCTACCATTTATGTTACTTTCTTTATATTTTACCGTTAAAACATGTCACGCACCCCTCACATGAAGGGATATCTTTGTCAATTCACTTTCTAGAGCTCGCTAGAATCATTACGTACGAAGGCAAAATGCATTTCTTTTTGCAGAGACATTGGAGTCAGGTCATGAAGAGAAACAGAGAAGTTGATTTCGAGTTTGATTTTGGCAAGGTTTGTTGAAGAATTAAAGTGAAAATTATGCAAAACTATAGTCTTTCATTTACAATTCAAGATTTTTTTAGGTCAGCAAGTGGGTGTCTAATTCATCTTAGTTTATTCAATTATTAATTTTTCAATCTCTTCTGGAGGGAATTGTCAAGCTGGGGTTGTACAAAACCCTAATTTGGCGCCATATCGACATTTTGGAGCCAATTTGATTCTAGCTGGCTTTGTGAAGTAATTGACGAAAATATCCCTACAAGTGATATGTTTTAACAGCAAATTTGATGGAAAGTAACTTAGATAGTAAATTCCAACGGTTAAGAGAGTCTAGATGGTAAAAAGTAAAAATTAAAGTTTAGATGATATGATCGCACGTGTTTACATGTTTAGGTGGTACTTGCGCAAAAAAAAATAAAAAAAATACATATTTAAAAAGTGATTTTCGATTTCCTTTGTGAACTTTTTTTCTCCTCTTTCTGAAAAATAGTATTGTAGCCAATTGAAATTTTTTAAACCAATATTACCCCTATTTTGGGGGCAATTTCAATTCCAACAATTAATAGAGCTCAGGTGCATGGTTCCAAGAGAGTCCAGATGCAACATTGATCTCCCAATTGTTATATTTCTCAAACCATGAGTAGAAATTAATATAAGACTAATAAAATTGTTGACGAAAGCAACATTGATCTCCCAAATGACATAATCAATACCAGAAAACCGAATACCAAACAATTAAAATAGCTTGAGACCAAAAAATATTGTTCCGCAATCCAGTCCGGTGATGCTATATCCATCCCTAATCGAGCAAATTGGCAAGACACCGAATATATAGTAAATAGTTTATAGCTTGTCCTCGAACTCAGAGAGCGGGGTCATCTGCTCCTTCAAACCCTTCCTCTTACGGATGTCGGTGACAAGTGTTGCAGCCTGGGATCCAGCTTCCAATGGATCAGACGACATCATCTCCCAATGATCAAACACGCATTGTGGGAAGGCCTGCCCGGAAGTTGCAGCCCTCAGTTGACCAGAGAATCCAAAGGACTCAACGACGGGGAGGTATGCCTTGATGTTGTAAAGTGGAGTTCCTGGCCTCTGCATCTCCTCAAACACATGCCCACGTTTCTGATTCAGAACACTGTAGATACCGCCAAGTGCCCCCTCTGGAGCTTGAATTTCAACGAGATACACTGGTTCGAGAAGCCTTGGCTTGGCTGTGAGCTGAGAGGCATAGATGACCCTCCGAGCAGTTGGAATGACCTGACCTCCCCCTCTGTGGATAGCATCAGCGTGAAGAACCACATCACAGACTTCAAAGCAAATACCTCTCATGTTTTCTTCTGCCAATGCACCTTCCTTTGAGGCCCACTGGAACCCAGCAACAACCGAATCCTTGATTTCATTAAGGTACTGAACTCCCTTACACATGTCGACCACCATGTTGGGACCGGTGGTCTCGGGACCAAAACACCAGATTTTCTTAGCAAGATCCTTGTCCCAACCAAACTCCTCAGCCAAGATCTTGGAACGAATCTTGGGATCATCTCTTGGGCCAATGCGACCTTCATCAATAGCCTCAGGAAGACCTTCCTCAAGGGGCCTTGCTTCCATGTACAGACGGTTATGCTTGTTTGGAGACTTACTCATCACTGTACGGCAGGACTTATCAAGGACAGTCTCACGGAAGGACACAACGGGGTCAGACTTTATAATCTCAGCACCACCCATAAAATCATCTTGTAGATCCTTCAAACAGATCTCAAGATGCAGTTCACCAGCACCAGCAATAATGTGCTCTCCAGACTCCTCAATGGAGCAGACAACCATAGGATCAGACTTGGCCAAACGTTTGAGACCTTCAACAAGTTTGGGAAGGTCAGATGCAACCTTGCACTGGACAGCAACACGCACGACAGGTGAAACGGAGAACTTCATAGCACGGATAGGGTGAGCATCCACTTCCTTCTCATTAGTTAAAGTTGCATTCTTGGTAATAAACTGATCCAGACCGACCAATGCCACAGTGTTACCGCAAGGAACATCCTCAACAGTTTCTTGTCTCTTTCCCATCCAAATAACAGTCCTCTGTACGTTCTTAACGTACAAATCCTTCTTCTCTCCGGGAACAAAATTTGGACCCATGATTCTAACCTTCAATCCTGTCTGAACTCTACCAGCAAAGACACGGCCAAAGGCAAAGAATCTACCCTTATCAGAAGCGGGAATCATCTTGGACACATAGAGCATAAGAGGTCCATCGGGGTCACAGTTCCTGATGGCATTGGCATATTGATCATCAAGAGGACCCTCGTACAAATTCTCAACACGGTACTTTTGAGCTGTTGACGGAGATGGAAGGTGAAAAATCATCATTTCCAATAAAGCAGTGCTAGCTGGTAACCAGGTCTGCATAACACGCTTCATCAGAGCCTTCCCCATCAGGTCCTTCTCATCACTCTTCATGGTGACACCAAGCTTTGTCAACATGGGCCACAACTTATCCTTCTGATCATTCATGCAGGTGTTGATGATCTGCTTGATGGGTTCGTAACAGAACTGAACAAAACCACGCTTGCAGGTAGCAGTGCCGGTGCTCTTGCTGGTCCATTTCTTCGTAGCTGGGTCAAAAAAGTTCTCACCCCAGAGCCTTTCCATCATCTTTGACTCATCAACTCCAAACTTGGAAGCATACATCTTAGCGAAGTTGGTCAGAGTGAAAGCCCAACCGTGCAAACCAGCTGAGAAGGCGACTGTTCCTTTCTCTGGGTACACTTGGACATCACCAAGAAGTGGATCTTCATATGTAGCCATAATGACATTAGCATTCTCAATAACCCTTTGGAATGTCTGGTAAGCTTCCTCTCCATCAACCTGGAGCTCAAGGAAGCATCTGTCCATCTTGTTAACGGTCAAAACAGGCCTGATCCTCTCTCCCAATGCTTGACGGAGCACAGTCTCAGTCTGGACACACACACCCTCAATACAATCCACCACCACAAGTGCTCCATCAGTAATACGCAGAGCAGCTGTGACTTCAGATGAAAAGTCAACGTGCCCGGGGGAATCAATGAGATTGATGAGGTACTCATTTCCGTTCCTCTCTCCCTTGTACCTCTGCAAAGACTCATCAGTCATCTCATAGTACAGAGAGATACCGGTAGATTTAATTGTGATACCACGCTCTGCCTCATCTGCGCGAGTATCAGTCATCCGAACATCACCAGCAACTTCTTGTGCAATGATACCCGCAGCAGCAACAAGCGAGTCTGTAAGAGTTGACTTCCCTGCATATCAAATTTCAAAAACATTATATGTTTTGAGGAAACACCATAGGACATAAACAAATAAATGGATAAAACGCAACTATACATATTAACTGGTGAAATATTTCAAATTATAACCAATAGAGAAAAGTTCAAAATACTGAAAAAAAATACACTTGACCAAAATATTACAACATTAAAAATTTTCTTTAACCAGGTTAATAAAAACACCTTGTAACAAAGACAAGAATTATCAAGTGAAAATAAAAAAGATCTATACCGTGATCAACATGAGCAATAACAGACATATTGCGAATGTTGTGCTTGTAGTCCATAATCCTACGGAGTTCTTCTGCTGTAAACTTCACCTGCAATATCAAGAATATCACACCATTGTGAATTAAGGAATCAATGGAGCAGCTCAGGAATCACTATGTAACCATGTTCAGATTGATAGTCAGTGTTTACCATCTTGACTAGTCTTTAAGAACAACCGGCAATTAGTTTTTATAAGAAGCTGATTAACCGACAAGGAAACACCTGCAAATTTAAACAACAAAAAAATGAACTGGAATTCAACTTGGAATATAAACATTTAAAATGACTAGAAAATGACACACCAATACATTTCTATGTTTAAAAAATGACCAGAAAAAAAAAATAGCAATTTGTATTCCACCAAAAGACTATTGAATTCCGGTAAAAGGAATACATAATTTTTACTGTATCAAGCAATCTTAATAATCAAGACAAGTTATTCGGTAAACGGTCTTGACAAAAGAAAAGGTAATCACAAATCATTCCTTATCAATTAGGATGATCCTATTAATTTAGGGCCACCAATAACAACAAAATAGAAAACAAGTACGCATAATAATTCTCTCTTACAAATTAGTATATTTTAGAACGAAAATTATTCTGGAAAATATTTTTATATTATTTCTTTGACATGAATAGGAAACAAAATGTTCTGAAAAAATTACTCATAAATTCAAACGAAACCTTAATTTTCGAAAATCTTTCCACTAAAAAAATTGCTCAACGAAACTATTTTCCAGCAAAACAACAGAGTATTAGTACGATCAAAGTAGAAAACAAGATCTAGCAAATACAAAACATCTAGGGTAGTGCTAACCACACACCCACTTTACTTTTCACACACACTCAACTTTCTGCTGTAGGATAAAATGAATTGAAGAAGATCAATGGCTAAAAACTAAAAATGGATGTGTGAACAATTTACAAATACTAGCGAAATTATCATATATCACGTAAAAATTATCAAAAACGTCAGAAAATTATTCCACAGCAAAAAAAATTTCACGTAAAAATTTTCCGATGAACCAACCAGAGCCTGAGAGAGTGATCTGTACGGAAAACAAGGATCTAATACAAACACATTTCACACAAACATATATACACACACAATGCATCCGTAAAACCTGAGCAACGATCGAAACGATAAACGAGCAAAGACATAATACCAAACCAAAAGCATGCATAACAATAATATATTTCCAACAATACAAAATGCATGCAGATCACAGATTTTTCAGAACAACAAAATGCATGATTAACGACGATAATCAAGAAATCACGAGGATAATCGGGGGGATTAAATCAAAGGAAGCGACTGATTCGAATAGCATAGAATTAGAGGAACGAACCTGAAGGATCGGGAGATGGAGAGCGAGGGAGGGATGGAGAGAGGAGTGACTCTCCGCAGCCTAGAGCTAGTGGTGCAAATGGGACTGAGAGAATGTGTGGAGCCCGGAGGAGGGTGTGAGTGTTATATAAGGTTAGGGTTTTCGTTTCTTGGGTTGGGCTCCGCTTTCATAGTTTATACTATTTTCTAGGCCCACCAAAATCTCCATCGGCCTTTTTTTATTCTAAAATCATGGGCCTTAGGGCTTTTTATTTATTTTTTATTTTTAACAACATTATATAATTATGGATAATGATGGGAAGATCAAATTTGAAAATCAAATAAATAGAAAATTAGCACGTTAATTAATATTTCAATAATAATTCAATTACATTTCATAATCATAAAAGTCGACTAAGTGCAAAAAGACGGCCACACATGACCTTTGCCAATCGACCTATTCCACAGTTGTATGACCTAGGTTAAGAAGGTCAAAGCTTCTTGTTAGACACTCAAAACTCAAAACTTCAAATTCTTGTTTATTAATTAAACAAAAAATATTGAGAAAAGTTATTAGCATTTTAGTATGGCATGTTTTTCTTTGATTGTAAGTGAGAGAAAAGTGAGAAGTGGAAATGAATACAACTACACTGTCGTGCTAAGCAGCCTCCAATATTCGTAAGGTAGGCATAAACTTCTTCGTCTAATAAACGTTTTCTAAATATGAGCCTAGGGTTTATTTACAAGATATACATATATTCTAACCAATTCACTTAACCCAACCCACACTTGCAAAGATAGCCTAGATTTAAAAAGCCTTAGCTCCCCCAAACACTTCTACTTTGGACACCAAACCCCAACTCTCTTTTTTTCATTTTTGTAGCCAAAACTATAGTATCTACATGTAACAACATTGATATCAAGTCGATGAATTGTATAGCATGAATTTTAAAGGGTGTTTGTTTGCCCTCACTAAGCTTCACTAGATTGGATTGGCTTAGCTGGAATTTCTAATTCGTGTTTGGTTGGAACAAGGATTAAGTATAATGGGACTAAGTCGGATTCGTGCCAACTAAGTCCTTCACTCCCAGTTCTTAGCTAGGTTGCCCGAAACATATGGGATTGCTAATCCCGTCTCTAAAGCTGTGTACAAAGTCTGCACGCTGCATCATCTACACGCTGCAAGTCATCTGCAATCATGCTTCTTTGCAACTCTGTTTGGCCACCTATGCCCAGATCTGAAACCCACCACACCCACTGCCTAATTCTCAACATCCAACTACCAAAATTCGAAAAGAAAAAAAGTCAATTCGATAACAACAACAAACTCAATAGAAAAATTCTTCATTTTTCCTAGAAAATTAAGAGAATTTTTGAGACAATCAAAGGAGTGGCGAGAAATAGAGTGGTCGTGAAATCCATGACGCAGCAGAGGGGTGCCTCTGCACGATTTCAATTCTCCGTGGGATATGAAGTTGGGAAACCAGAATCTGTGGTGCCAGAAATAGTTTAGAGGAATCACAACAGCAAAGAAAAGGAAAGGGAAAAAAAGAGAACAAAACGGGGGTGATGAATGACGTTGAGTGAGGAGAGAGTGGAAAGGAAAAGAAAAAGACGAAGAGAGTGGAAAGGAAAAATAAGAAAAAAATGTGGAAAGAAAAAAATGTGAAGAAAAAAATGACGAAATTATTTGATTTTCCAAAATAATGTAGTCCGTAACTTAGTCCGATATTGCATCAACCGCTCCATTATTCTTATCCTACTTAGTCCATGCCTAGCCAATCTAACTTAATCTTTAAAGCTAATCTAGTCCGAAATAATCCAATACAACAAACGCACCCAATCCCATATTGATGCAGGCCAACCAAATTCATAAACTAGCACAATTAAGAATACAAAGCCGCTGGTTCCACAACTTACAAAACCTGAATCAAACACGAGCTAGAGCGGTTTTCGGCACCTGTGCAGCCACTCGTATTGGCGGCGCGCGAGCCGAGCATTGCAACCACCACCTTCGAGGCGTTTTCCCATCTCTAATGAAATAGTAGCAGAAGAAGCTGTTGCAGGTCTTCAAGTTAGAAAGAACAAACATCAATCAAATACATGAAACAAAGTAGACAAAAGTATAGTAAATTCAAAAAGCGTGTAGCAACAATGGCAGAAATTGTTCCACAAGCAACAAGGTAAAAGCAGAACATTATAAAGGTCTCTGTTCTGAGCACGCACAAAACATTTAACTACTGGCACCCAGATGCTGACTACAGCAACAATGTTAACAACATTAAACAAAAACGATTAAACTGGAAACCAAAAAATTAACGCAGTGCATCGAAAACAAATTATTACTCAAAGCTTGTCCTCAAACTCGGATAGTGGGGTCATCTGCTCCTTCAATCCCTTCCTCTTACGGATGTCGGTAACAAGTGCTGCAGCCTGGGATCCAGCTTCCAATGGATCAGACGACATCATCTCCCAATGATCAAACACACATTGTGGGAAAGCCTGTCCAGAAGTTGCAGCCCTCAGTTGACCAGAGAATCCAAAGGACTCGACAACGGGGAGGTATGCCTTGATGTTGTAAAGTGGAGTTCCCGGCCTCTGCATCTCCTCAAACACGTGTCCACGTTTCTGATTCAGAACACTGTATATACCTCCAAGAGCCCCCTCTGGAGCTTGAATTTCAACAAGATACACTGGTTCGAGAAGCCTTGGCTTGGCTGTGAGCTGAGAGGCATAGATGACCCTCCGAGCAGTTGGAATGACCTGACCTCCCCCTCTGTGGATGGCATCAGCGTGAAGAACCACATCACAAACTTCAAAGCAAATACCTCTCATGTTTTCTTCTGCCAATGCACCTTCCTTTGAGGCCCACTGGAACCCAGCAACAACTGAATCCTTGATTTCATTAAGGTACTGGACTCCCTTACACATGTCGACCACCATGTTAGGACCAGTGGTCTCGGGACCAAAACACCAGATTTTCTTAGCAAGATCCTTGTCCCAACCAAACTCCTCAGCCAAGATCTTGGAACGAATCTTGGGATCATCTCTTGGGCCAATGCGACCTTCATCAATAGCCTCAGGAAGCCCTTCCTCAAGGGGCCTTGCTTCCATGTACAGACGGTTATGCTTGTTTGGAGACTTGCTCATCACTGTACGGCAGGACTTATCAAGGACAGTCTCACGGAAGGACACAACAGGGTCAGACTTTATAATCTCAGCACCACCCATAAAATCATCTTGCAGATCCTTCAAACAGATCTCAAGATGCAGTTCACCAGCACCAGCAATAATGTGCTCTCCCGACTCCTCAATGGAGCAGACAACCATAGGATCAGACTTGGCCAAACGCTTGAGACCTTCAACAAGTTTGGGAAGGTCAGATGCAACCTTGCACTGGACAGCAACACGCACGACGGGTGAAACTGAGAACTTCATAGCACGAATAGGGTGAGCATCCACTTCCTTCTCATTTGTTAAAGTAGCATTCTTGGTGATAAACTGATCCAAACCGACCAAGGCAACAGTGTTACCGCAAGGAACATCCTCAACAGTTTCTTGTCTCTTTCCCATCCAAATAACAGTCCTCTGTACATTCTTGACATACAAATCCTTCTTCTCTCCAGGAACAAAATTTGGACCCATGATTCTAACCTTCAAACCTGTCTGAACTTTACCAGCAAAGACACGGCCAAAGGCAAAGAATCTACCCTTATCAGAAGCGGGAATCATCTTAGACACATAGAGCATAAGAGGTCCTTCGGGGTCACAGTTCCTGATGGCATTAGCATATTGATCATCAAGGGGACCCTCATACAAATTCTCAACACGGTACCTTTGAGCCGTGGAAGGAGATGGAAGGTGAAAGATCATCATTTCCAATAGAGCAGTGCTAGCTGGTAGCCAGGTCTGCATAACACGCTTCATCAATGCCTTCCCCATCAGGTCCTTCTCATCACTCTTCATGGTGACACCAAGCTTTGTCAACATGGGCCACAACTTATCCTTCTGATCATTCATGCACGTGTTGATGATCTGCTTGATGGGCTCATAACAGAACTGAACGAAACCACGCTTGCAGGTTGCAGTTCCGGTGTTCTTGCTGGTCCATTTCTTCGTAGCTGGGTCAAAATAGTTCTCACCCCAGAGCCTTTCCATCATCTTTGACTCATCAACTCCAAACTTGGAAGCATACATCTTAGCGAAGTTGGTCAGAGTGAAAGCCCAACCGTGCAAACCAGCTGAGAAGGCGACTGTTCCTTTCTCTGGGTAGACCTGAACATCACCAAGAAGTGGATCTTCATATGTAGCCATAATGACATTGGCATTCTCAATAACCCTTTGGAATGTCTGGTAAGCCTCCTCTCCATCAACCTGGAGCTCGAGGAAGCACCTGTCCATCTTGTTAACGGTCAAAACAGGCCTGATCCTCTCTCCCAAGGCTTGACGGAGCACAGTCTCAGTCTGGACACACACACCCTCAATACAATCCACCACCACAAGTGCACCATCAGTAATACGCAGAGCAGCTGTGACCTCAGATGAAAAGTCAACGTGCCCAGGGGAATCAATGAGATTGATGAGGTACTCATTTCCGTTTCTCTCTCCCTTGAACCTCTGCAAAGACTCATCAGTCATCTCATAGTACAGAGAGATACCGGTAGATTTAATTGTGATACCACGCTCAGCTTCATCGGCACGGGTATCCGTCATACGGACATCACCGGCGACTTCTTGTGCAATGATACCAGCAGCAGCAACAAGAGAGTCTGTAAGGGTTGACTTCCCTGCAAGAAGGAAAAAATTAACATTATTGCTTTATCACGCATCCACAGATACAACATAACAAGAAACAAGAAAATCAAACAAGCTGCAAATTACAATGGACATCACGAAAAAAAAATTAAATTGCATAAACATCCCTATTTAAGACAAAAAGATATTCGGAAAACTATCCGGCTTGGATGAGAAAAATATAAAAGCATTTAAATATGCATACAAATCTGTTCTAAACAACATTATGTGAGTAAAATAAGTGCATATTAATATGTACCATGGTCGACGTGCGCAATAACAGACATATTACGGATGTTATGTTTGTAGTCCATAATCCTACGGAGCTCCTCTGCTGTGAACTTCACC